CCCTGCCCCAGCCCCCGCCCGGTCACCTTCGCTGTGTGACTCGCAGCCGGGCCGAGCCTCTCTGTGCCTCCGCTGCCTCCGCTGGGATCTACCGCTCGCACCGACGTGAGGGTCGGCGAGTTACTGCAGGACCGAGCGCCTGCCTCTCAGCGAGGTTCGCACACGGTCAGTTTTTAATATATTTTTATTGATTTCAGAGAGGAAGGGAGAGGGAGAGAGAGAGATGGAAACATAAATGATGAGAGAGAACCACCGATCGGCTGCGTCCCGCACGCCCCCCACTGGGGACCGAGCCCGCAACCCAGGCATGTGCCCTTGGCCGGAATGAACCCGGGACCCTCCAGTCCGCAGGCCGACGCTCCATCCACTGAGCCAAACCAGCCAGGGCAGGCGTGGGTTTTTTTGAAAAGCCAGGTGTGAACATCTGTGGGTGGTGGTTTCCGGGACGGGGACCAGCACTTTCTTTAATGACGAAGAAAAGAAAGTCAACGTGGAACAGGACCGAAGGCCACAGGCCGTACCCACTGTGAGGATCGCGGTGTGAACTTGTTTCCGGTCCTCTGGGCTGTGATCCAAGAAGTTCGGCCTCTGGGAAGTAGAAGGAATGCGGCTGGGGACCGGGGCTGCCCCTTAGGGGGTCCGGGAGGGCTCCCAGGAGGGGGTGGCATTGACGAGAGGGGCCTGGAGGTTGAGCGGGAATGGGCTCAGCGGAGGTTTGAAGGAGAAGGTTGCAGGGAGCAGGCACCTGGCACCCTAAGAAGCGGAGCAGAGACCAGGCCCGAGGCGGGAGGAGGGGCAGGGACAGCGTTCCTGGTCCCTGGGGTGATGGGGCGAAGGCAGGTCACGCCCGCTCTCTGCCCTCACCCACGTCGCCCTGCAGGTCTGGACCTTAAACCTGGCGCCCGGTGAACCCTCACTGCGGCTCTCCGTCCAGCCCCACCCCCTGCCCCCGTTGGCCTGTTTTCCGGGGGTAGGAGGGGTGTAAGCGGCTGAGCGTGCAGCTCAGATTGGAGTTTTCAAAAGACTGGGCTCTACTTAGGCCGACAGATGGCAGCGACGCCCTCCTGCTGGCATCCTCTGGTCTCACGCACTCACTCGCTCATTCATTCCACTGGCTCCTCCGGAAGCTCCCGTGGGCCGTGCTGGGGGCCCAGAGAGAGGCCTTGACCCTGACTTCCAGCCCATGGTTCTGTGCGGCCCCAGAAGGTCTGTCTCCCCCCAGAGCGGACCCTGCCCCCCTCTCCTCACAGCCCTCCCTGGACTCCCCAGCCCCCAGGTCA